CATTTGTCATTTTTCCAATAGCGCCTGCAAAGGTGAAGAGCAGCTCTAAAATATTTTCCCATTTTCATTGTCCGAATGAGTCGATTTCCCCGAAATTCTGTTTAATTAATGAAAACCTGAACGTGAAAATATTCAACAAACTTTTTTTTAAATGTCAAAACTACCCCTCATCAAAACAATTCCCCAAAAGTGAACACGTGGTGAGCGAAATACACTCTGGAGATGGCCCACAAACATACGTCTCTTATCTTGCGAGCTTATGTTGCCTGCACCGCAGAGACTTCACGCGTGGTGCACTCACGGTAAGTTCAGTTAACACACACACACACACACACACACACACACACACACACACACACACACACACACACACACACACACACACCGCCCTTTAGTGTGGCTTGAAAGTGTTCGCAGCCTCTTGCAGCCAAGTTTAACTGGCCGACTTACATGCAATTAAAGTTATCTAGGCCATGAGGGAACAGTAACATGATTACACGGGCTTTCCTCAGCATGAGTCTGGCCCACAGTCGAAGAGAGGGCGGCCATTCTGCCTGCTTGCCTGCTTGCGTGAGGGAGTCCACTCGGGTTTTGGGATAGTTTATCGTGGGTTGGACGTTTCTGGCTACAGGTGACGTCCAATAAAAGTCTTTTTCTTTTTTTTTTCTTTTGTTTTGTGTTCTTCAGAAGAAGGCGACACCCATTGAAATTAGGCCGAGAGCGAGGAGCTTGCAGTGCATTACTTACATTGCACAGTGTCGCTCATCGAGACGGAGCTGGCGTTTGCGTGCAGGGCAACGCCTTCTGCGAGCAGCTCTCAACAAAGACGCGACGACGATATCGCATAATCGCTCGTATTTGACAGCGGTCGACGTGCTATTGATCACCTGGCATTTTTGCGCAAACAGGCTGCGCATTTGGTGCAAGCAACCCGCAGGAGTAGGCGGGTGGTAGTCCAGGGTCCTACTGCGAGAAGCATATCAGCTGCTGTGAGTCAGCCATCCAAGGAAATAAACACACGATAAAGCTCATTCTTTGCTCATGCGCGCGCACCAGTGCGGCGATAGGCAGTCTTAAAAGCCCCAACAGGCAAATATTTCCAAGTGATGGACGTTTGCTGCTCCCGTTTTGACACATGATGACAAACGCCCCAATGTAAATGTTGCGAAAGGCCCATTGGCCGTGCACGCTTGTAACGATTTGCTTCCTTGGAACCTGCTCGCACTTTTCAACGTGCAGTCTCAATCTTCACATTTCCTTCATTCTCGTGCTTCACGCGCTTGTGTAGCTGAAAATCACGCACATTCCTGTGGAGTCAACTGGATGCAGTCTGATAACAGCAGTCTGTGTCATGGAGGCCGATACTAATATTCCTTTAACGCTGCATGTGCAACAACTGCCAGGCCGGACGTCATACAGGGGCCTTGTGTCTTGTATGTCGCCTCAAATATTCCCTTGGACCATGTTAGTCGTTCAACCCCACTTCAAGTCTTACATTCTTCGTTGTAATGAAATAAATGCAACGCGGAAACGTTCTTTTGCTTGACATTGCGTCACTTGAAGCAAAATATGCCCGATGGAGTATTGTGCTGTGAGGTGCGCGCAATCTCTGGTTAGCAACATCTGAACTCCCTTCATTCTCAGCTTTGTTTTTTTTTGGGGGGGGGGGGGGGGGGGGACAACAAAAGGATTTAGTGTTACTACAGCCATTGCGAGTTTTATGGTGGACGTATAGAGGCGATTTTTAGTGGTCAAATTCAAGTGCTGTGTCTGGACAGCTGTCTGCTTTCTTTGTACTTGGATGCATCATGTGCGAGCACCTTTTGTCACGAAGGGCAGTAAACAAGCTGATGCCATTGCCACGTTTTGCAAATAGCCTCCACTGACTGCAAAGCTGCCTTTAAGCTCTCGGGGAGATTTCCTTGTGCTTTGCTACAGCGGCATCAGACAATTCTCCCATCAACGACCTTATGTGCTCCTTTTGTGATATCAAAATATTGGACACTAATTCAAAAGTATTCTGTAGGATTTAGGAAATGTCCAATAATCATAAACAATGGCCCAATAATAGGAATTCCACCGTGTGACTGGAGCTGTTAGTCTATAAAGTGCATGGAAGACTGCCCTCAACAGCACAATTAAAAGTTTACAGCGAGTCAGGAAAGAACAAACAAACGCATCTTTTCAAACCACTCGTTAATTTATTTAAAATAAAGTAACAGAGAAAACAATCACACCCCCGCTGTTTAATGTCGACATCCCGCTGCTGCTGCTGCTGCTGCTGCTGCTGCAAAATAAATAAATAAGCGAATAAAAATAAATAAATAAGAAAACATCACAGATGCATCAGCTGGGACTTATTTACTTTGAGAGACAAATGTCGAAATCGTGATTTTATCCACAAAGCAGGCAAAGTGCGCACAGCGAGCACGTTGTTGATCACCCAAACAGATTTCAAGTCATGATGTATTCCATTTCCAACACGCTTTTCCATAACATCCAGAGAGCGCTTACCTGCAACAACACTATTCCCATCTCAAAACCCACCCATTCAAAATCGCATACTCAATTTAAATTCATCTCTTCTTTTATTATATATCATTTTATCTGTGGTTTTATTGTTCTTTTCTTGATTGTAAAGTGTCCTTGAGTGTTTTGAAAGGCGCTTATAAATAAAATGTATTATTATTATTAATAGTAATAATAATTAAAATTTTAATTATTATTATTAATAATAATTAATAATAATAATAATTAAAAAATAATACAAATAATAATAAAAATAATAACTGAGAATGATGATGACGTCGAGTAGAAATGCGAGCATGCATGTTGTTTGCCTGAGGACTGGCGAGACATTGTGTGCTTGACGGGTTGTACTTTTTGCAACATGTCCCCAACCCCCTCCTGAATCAAAGGCAAACCACATCCAAGCTAGTCCATTGTTGTATTCTGGATGGGCAAAAAAACTGTGAGCGCATGGGGCAACGTGATTGTTAGAGACGATGAAGTGCAAGAAGCATGCAAGTGTTTTCATTTGTGTTCGACCCCCGTAAAATGGCCTTTAGAAGGAATGAATCTGTTGCGTAAACGCCGCTGCAGCCACCTGTGTTGCATATTGACGATGGTGCAACAGGCTCACCAGTATGAAAATATAATGCCATTCAACCGCGTCATGAATCCACGGACAGATCAGCGTTAAGTGCCTGGACGCTCCTCGCCGTGATGTCTCCACCTGCACGACAAAACAAAACAAAACAAAACAAAACAAAACAAAATGGCCCAACGCAGCAAGCAGGCCTGAGCATTTTTCTGAAGTTATGGAGTTGTTCTTGGACTGCTTGGCCACCACGACAGGCTTGCAGCCACTTTCCGAAGGCATCTTTTATGTTACTGTGTGTAAATGTCAGTGTCAATAACGCTGCGGATAAAATGTAATGTGGAGGAAGTGTTACAGGAGATGACCATGGTCCTGCAGTGCAAGAAAGCCACACAACAACTACGACAAGAGGAATGATGATGATAACAATACCTTACCTGCCCAAGTGCACTATAGGAGGACGTGCAGAGAGGAGGACTAAGACCGCCTTGGCGTAAACATCAACACAGTCAACAAAAACACAAAGTCTTCGGTGTCTCGTGACGAATGAATGCATATGTGGCGGTCCTGATTTGAGTGGTTGTGTATGAAAATGATTCGTTCGAACCCCCCACCCCACATACACGCGCTGGCAGACACGCACGCACGGGCGCGCGCACGCACGCAGGCACACAAGCAGGCAGGCACGCACGCACGCCCCAACCCCCTGGATGTAACGAGCCCAACCACTCCTACACATGCAACTCTTCCAAATTGATATATGACAATATCTACTTTCGATCACGTGTCCGCCAGGCGACTTAGACGGATTGCGCGTCATCTCGCCTTCCCCAAAAATTTCTCTGGTGCGGCAGCTCGTATCCAAAACATCTTTATCGACGGAGCGCGAAAGATGTTTAACTCTGTGAACCTGGGCAACTTCTGCTCCCAGACGCGCAAGGACCGGACATCCGAGTTTGGGGACAGGGCGGGCTGCGCGTCCAACCTCTACCTGCCCAGCTGCACGTATTACGTGCCCGAGTTCTCCGCCGTGTCGTCCTTCCTGCCGCAGGCCCCGTCCCGCCAGATCAGCTATCCGTACTCCAGCAACCTCCCGCAAGTACCGCCTGTCCGGGACGTGTCCTACGGTCTCGAGCCGACCGCAAAATGGCACCACCGCAGCAACTACGCGTCGTGCTACTCGGCCGGAGAGGAGCTGGTGCATAGGGACTGCCTGCCGCCTTCCACCATGACCGAAATGCTCATGAAGAACGAGAGTGCGTACAGCCACCACCACGCACACCACGCACACCACCACCACCACCACCACCACCCGGGCTCCAATCACCCCTCTGCAGGCTTCTACTCCGGCGTGGCCAAGAACAATGTGCTCCCGCAGGGCTTCGACCGCTTCTTCGAGACGGCGTACTGCAGCGGCACGGACAATCAGACGGACACTTTTTTGCAAAAGGTCGAGGGGGGGAAGCTGCCTGGCAGCGGCGGCGGCGGCACAGACGCGAGCGACCCCCAGCAGCAACAGCAGCAGGAGCAGCAGCCCGCCTCAGCCACAGGCTCGCTTCCGGCAGCCACCGAGCAGGACAAAGACGCGGACGACGACGACGACGACGACAACGTCGCCGCCGAGGAGGAGCACACCAGTTCGGGCTCTTGCACGTCGGCCGCTAAGGAAGCCAGCGGCGGCTCCAAAAGCAGCCACTCCAGTAGGTTGAAGCTGTAAAATGCGGCACGAGGTGAAGGGGACTAGCCCGCTGTTTTGTCGCTCTCACTTTATGTGCACTTTTATAAGCATTCAAAAGGATTTTATTATAAGCCCACAAAAGCTCTTGCTTGCAATGAGAAGATTTTTTACGATGCCGAGGCTCTTCAAAAATGACCATATTATACACACTCCGTGCTGAGTGACTGTCGTGTGTGTGCGCGCGTGTGTGTGTGTGTGTGTGTGTGTGTGTGTGTGTGTGTGTGTGTGTGTGTGTGTGTGTTTCGTTTTAATGAAGAGACGGCGCTATTGTGACAAATGGTAACTTTGATCGTGAACTTGCATTGGGCGTTTAATGAAGGGATTTTCTTTCTTCTTCTTGTGCCCACCATACACGCATGTGTAAAAGGCAATTGGGCAGAACATTGCTGTTGGCGTCTTGTGAACTGCTGTCTTATGAAAAACATTAGCTGGCTTTTGGCCCGCTGTGCTACACACCGACACACGTGCATGTATACTGATCCAACAAAACCGGCCCCGTACACTTTGAGAGGAGGAAAGGGCGATTTAGTTGCACAGATAAAATGTGAATCTGACTCGTTCCGCTGCAGGTTCAACAGTGAAATGTTTAAAAAAATAGTTGTGCTATTTTAGTGCTGAAAAAAGGCTCCTGTCGTTGTGCTATGTTCGTGCTGAAAAGGGGCTTCCCGCACAAGCTCAGTGGCCACGTTGTTTTTTTTGCCAAATTTGGAATACTCCACTGAATTAAAAAAAAATTAAAAAACACCCTAAAAGGCATTTTCATCCCCCCCGTGCAGCCACCTGTTTGATAAGAAGTTATAGATCCTCAGGGTCGTGCAAAGGCCATTGCCAATGTGGCCAAATGCATTTCGACATGGTGCCAAGAGTGTGTAAATTGTGCGTTGGGCTCCAGAGGAATGCGAGGGCACATGATGCGGTGAAAGCCTTTTTGCTGTCGTCAATTTAGAACAGATAAACATGTGCTTAGATGCTGTCTCTTGCTCTTATTTACTCCAAAGGCTTGGCATATTTGACGCTCTAAAGCCTCCTCATCACTGGCGCATCAGCAGCGCCACTTGAGAGTCGATTATATGATGGTGACGATGATGATGATGATGATGATGATGATGATGATGATGATGCTATTGATGAGGATGATTATTATTATTTTGCACGCTTTGTGAAACAACTGAGCAAGGAGAGTGTCATTTTTTCAGGTACCCCGCGCACAAGGAAGAAGAGGTGTCCCTATTCGAAGTTCCAAATCCGAGAACTGGAGCGAGAGTTCTTCTTTAATGTTTACATTAACAAGGAGAAACGTCTACAGCTCTCCCATTACACACTCCCTGCGCTGTGAGTGTGGCGTGTGTGTGCGCGCGTGTGTGTGTGTGTGTGTGTGTGTGTGTGTGTGTGTGTGTGTGTGTGTGTGTGTGTGTGTGTTTCGTTTTAATGAAGAGACGGCGCTATTGTGACAAATGGTAACTTTGATCGTGAACTTGCATTGGGCGTTTAATGAAGGGATTTTCTTTCTTCTTCTTGTGCCCACCATACACGCATGTGTAAAAGGCAATTGGGCAGAACATTGCTGTTGGCGTCTTGTGAACTGCTGTCTTTTGAAAAACATTAGCTGGCTTTTGGCCCGCTGTGCTACACACCGACACACGTGCATGTATACTGATCCAACAAAACCGGCCCCGTACACTTTGAGAGGAGGAAAGGGCGATTTAGTTGCACAGATAAAATGTGAATCTGACTCGTTCCGCTGCAGGTTCAACAGTGAAATGTTTAAAAAAATAGTTGTGCTATTTTAGTGCTGAAAAAAGGCTCCTGTCGTTGTGCTATGTTCGTGCTGAAAAGGGGCTTCCCGCACAAGCTCAGTGGCCACGTTGTTTTTTTTTGCCAAATTTGGAATACTCCACTGAATTAAAAAAAAATTAAAAAACACCCTAAAAGGCATTTTCATCCCCCCCGTGCAGCCACCTGTTTGATAAGAAGTTATAGATCCTCAGGGTCGTGCAAAGGCCATTGCCAATGTGGCCAAATGCATTTCGACATGGTGCCAAGAGTGTGTAAATTGTGCGTTGGGCTCCAGAGGAATGCGAGGGCACATGATGCGGTGAAAGCCTTTTTGCTGTCGTCAATTTAGAACAGATAAACATGTGCTTAGATGCTGTCTCTTGCTCTTATTTACTCCAAAGGCTTGGCATATTTGACGCTCTAAAGCCTCCTCATCACTGGCGCATCAGCAGCGCCACTTGAGAGTCGATTATATGATGGTGACGATGATGATGATGATGATGATGATGATGATGATGATGATGCTATTGATGAGGATGATTATTATTATTTTGCACGCTTTGTGAAACAACTGAGCAAGGAGAGTGTCATTTTTTCAGGTACCCCGCGCACAAGGAAGAAGAGGTGTCCCTATTCGAAGTTCCAAATCCGAGAACTGGAGCGAGAGTTCTTCTTTAATGTTTACATTAACAAGGAGAAACGTCTACAGCTCTCCCGCATGTTAAACCTCACCGATCGCCAGGTGAAAATTTGGTTTCAGAACAGACGAATGAAGGAGAAGAAGCTGAGCAGGGATCGCCTGCAATATTTCTCCGGGAATCCCTTGTTGTGAGCCGCCAGCGGGGCCGGCCAGCAGCAGCGGCGGCGGCGGCGACAACGGCTACGGTCACAGCCTCGGTCAGTTGCATCGAGTCCTCGAGCTTCTGCACTCACGTCAAACAGTTGTGAAC